CTGGGTCCCTGATGGGCTTACCTCTCGCGGCCTCGGGCTCCATCAGTCTCACATGGCGCTTTGCCACCTCGCCGCCCCCAGCCCTCCCAGAGCCCGTGCTTCTCCTTTCTGCCGGGCGTCTCCTCCTCCTGGACTGCCCGTCTGCCTGAGCTCATCCAGGGACATCTGTCCACGTCCTTCCAGCTTCAACGGCCGGGTCCCCCTCGCCGTGATTTACGGCATCTGTTCTCCTTCCTCAGAGCCCACAGACCCGTCCGCATCTCAATCGCGGCCTCTGGGCTCCTTCCCAGCCCGGCAGAGGGTTCTTTGTCTGTCCCCAACGTCGGACTAGGGGCACCTTAAGTGGGGACTGGGGTGCGCTTCCATCCCCTGTGCCTGCCCAGCGAGCTGCGCCTGGAAGCTGCAGCCCAGTGACCGGTCACCCTTGCCCCAAGGCCTCTCCTGCCTTCTCGTTGCTCCGGGGATGAAGTGACCCCCACCCTGAGGCCCCTCAAGGCCTGCTTCCTCCTCACTCACCCCTGGTCCCTCTCTCTCGCAGGCGGACCCTCAGACGCCTTGAATTACTTAGTCCCCAAATGGGCAGGCTCCGTGCTGCTCCTGGTCTACGCACCTGCTGCCGGGAACACCCGCCGTCACTGTGCGGGTGGCTTCAGAGCGCCCCTCGGGCTGCAGCTTAGACACCGTGCACCTGGAGGGATCCTCGGCACGTCACCCCCTCGGGCCCCCTCACAGGCCCACCACAGCTGACTCCACTCGGGGCGCCACCCTTTCTTGCCAATGTCCCCCCACGTGGCCTTGCAGGGGGCGGACTCCTGAACGGCCAAGCGCACGTCTGTCCACTGTGTCCTCATGCTGTGGCCACGCTGCTGGCTTTCAGGACTGCCGAGGGACCAGCGAACCCTCGGGGAACCAAGAGGTTCTGCAGACAGCGCAGCCGAGGCCGGGAGACCCCGTTCTGCCGGGCAGCATCTGGACCGCGGATTTCCCAGCCTAAATCTGAGCCATCAGAGACCATCCAGAGGAGAGCTGCCCACCTGCCCGCCCCGCTCCTGCTCCCCACCTCCCCGCCCCGCTCCGGCTCCCCACCTCCCCTGGCAGAAGGTCAGCTCAGCTCTGGGCCACCAGGGGCCTCCAACACCGGGCAGCGTTTCCAGGGAGATGTACTTGACATGGAGGACGCCCAGGCCCTGGCCCGGCCTCCCAGGCCCCTCTGAGATGGTCCCCCTCTGGGATCCCCAGCTAATCCAATCCCCCGTCAGCGGGACGGCTGTGCCGAGCCTGTAGTGCTATGCATTATTCACGGCCCATGTATTATTGATCATCAGTTTGTTTATTTATTATTAATTGTGTTCCATTATTGATCATGACGTGGTTGTACGATTAATCAGACTTGGAAGGCTCTTCCGGGACCCTCAGAACCCACCGGGCTCCCACCCGGCTCCCTGCGGGTAGACGTGGGCTCTTTCTCTTCCCATTTCACGTGTGGGAGACACTGAGGCTGGTGGGACCCAGAACTTGGGCTCTCGGTCCCCGGCTCTGAGTGTCCGCCAGGGAAGGTGACCGTGGGAAGTCCCCATGAGGCCACGTGTGCAGGGCTGACCACCGGTCAAGGGCATGGGCCCCTGTAGGGTGCTGTGCCAGACCTGCCAACGGTGGCTCCCCTGGGACCCTGTGGCCTGTCCCCGGCTTCACCAGGGTCCACGCCGGGGCCCAGGGCTGTCTGCACGCTGGCCTTGGACATGATGCCCACCCTCAGTCACGCGTCTCGGCCCCAACCACAGGGACTGCCACGCGACCCGTGCCCCCGCTCCTGTTCCTCCAGGTACGTTCCCCAGCGTCCCCTGCAGTTTTCAGGGTCACGAGGTCAGGTCCTGGCCAGGCCATGTGGCTTCCAGGCCTGTTCCCTACAGACCCCCGTCCCCCTGTCTCTGAGGCCACTTCGGTGGAGAGGACTCTGAGGACTTGGAGCGGGGTGGGGCCAGGAGAGGGAGGAGACGGGGACTTCAGGGCTGCGGGGAGGAGAGCCCTCCCGAGGTCCGCAGTGGACGCGACGTGGATGGGAACCAGGGGCCCACTGTGTTGACCGCCGGGTCCTGGGGTGGGTGGTTACACAGTCCCTGATCCGCTGCACACAGTAGGTGCTCAATAGTTCTTCGTGAAGAGACAAGGGTGGGGGGAGATGACAGAACAAGGCCATCAACCAAGGGATGTGGGTCTGTCCCCGAGTAGAATCCCAGCCAGCTCCCACCCCAGGGGCAGAGGAACGGGACCTGGTCACCCAGGTGCGGGAAGCGAGGCCCAGGTAGGAAGGCCTGGGCCCAGGTCCCAGAGCCACCGGTCCTTGAAGACCAGGCCCCAGGACTCTGGACACACAGTCCTGGGACCCTTCTGCCACCTTGGTCCCCTCTGTGGCTGTCCGTCGGAGGAGCTACCCTTGCCCTCCAGCACCTGCGCCTGGGGCCAGGGGAGGGGCGGCCATTTCTTCATCCCCTTTGGTTTCTCCAGAGAACGACTGGCGCAGCGGAGGGAAGGAGAGACTGGCGCAGGACACGGCGCCCGCGGGACACCCTGACGCCGTGCTGTCCTGTGGTGCCTCGTCCAGGGCCGTGTGGGGCAGAGGACCCACCGCGTCAGGCCCCGTGGGCAGCCGGTGACGGGGGAGAGGGGCGACAGCTCAGCTCCTGAAGCAGAAGGTCCAGAGGGTCCAGGCTTCATCCAGGGACACAGAGGCACGCGCCTACTCGTCCCCGAGTCTCAGTCGGCTCCCTGACAAACAGGCCCGGGCCGCTTAACTTCTCAGGACGATGGTGACAGTAAGGTGAGGCGGGAAGGGGTCTCCTCCGGGTGGGATGTTGCCAGGGACCACGGTGCCCAGACACATGACCTTGAACTTGGGAATCTGACTGCCCGGGGACAGTGCTGACCCCCCTGCCACCAGCCAGCCCCACAGCCCCAAGGGAGCCGGCTCACGTCTCAGAGCCCCCGTTTCCCCTGTGCCCAGGGGCAGAGGGGCCGTTGCTGGGCTGGCTGGGGAGGCGCAGGGGGATGGCACCTGGTAGACGGGGACCCTGCGGCACGGAGGAGCTGGCCTCTGCTGCCCTGCCTGCAGCCCCGGGCCCCCTGGGCTCCCACCAGCAGGCTGCCACCCGGGCCAGGCTGGAGAGCCCGGCAGAGGGCCCACGGGCGTCCAGGGCCGCGACTGAGCCGTCAGTGCTGGACGCTGCTGGGCTTTCTGGGTGGAGACTTCCAGGGCGGGCGGAGGGGGCAGCCCCGCCGCTCCGACCCCACTCAGCGTCACGAGGACACTTGCGTGAGCCACGGGGGACGTCTGGGACTTAGAATAAAATTTAAAATATGGATGATAGGTTATTAAGGAATATTTTAAGAGAAAAATAGTTATGACTGGAGGAGCACAGTCTAAGCCAGCTTATAAAGTGGCCTTAATAAGTAAAACGAGGCGACTTAATGAAAAAAATCACAATTTAAAATAGGCCCCCATTAAATAATAATGCCTCATAAACACAGGAGTCCTTTAGCACACAAGAATTAATTGCTGGGCTCAGAAGCTCAAGGCACAATAAAGGAATCTTTAATTTTTTTTCTTTTTGGTCTTTTATTTCTCTCTCTCTAAGAGGCGACCGGCATCCGTCTGGATGACCTCATTCTGGCACGGAGAGGCCTGGAAATCTGCAAAGGGAATTTGCTCAGTAACAATTTTGTTTCCTTGACCCTATTATTTGGAGACGTGGACGGAATGAAGTCGGTTTCCTCTCCGGACCTCCACCCATCAGCGCTAAATGAACTCCCGTGGCAGCGGCTTCCTAACCGTGAACCGGGAGAAGGTTTCTCCGGCAGAATCAACGCCCGAGTTCAGGCCCCGCGAGCCGAGCTGCTCAGTTGGCCCCACCTCTCCGCCCCGGCGGCTCCAGAACCAGTCGAGGAAAACAGCGGTGACTCTCAGCCCCTGGGGACATTTGGCGACTTCTGAGGACGGATTAGGCTGTGTGACCGGGAAGGGGACCCCAAGACTGGCATCTAGAGGGTGCAGGCCAAGGACGTGACGGAACCCCCTGCCCAGGGCAGTCCCCACACCAGGGGTCGGCCTGCCCCAAGTGTCAGTGGTGCCGAGAACGAGAAACCCTGCAGTCCAGGGAGGCGAGGAAAGTTCTAGAAGGTGGGTGCCGACTAGCAGTTCCGGGGCATGGAAAGGCACCCTGTTGGAAAGTCCCCCTAAAGATCACCCCACACCAGCTGGCCTCACCCCTGCCATTCAGGAACCTCTTCAGCACCAAAATGGATCGGCACCCCCCCCCCGCCCCTTCCTGCCTGCAGGAACACAGCTGGATCTC